TGGTTGGGGTACCCTTTTCATATTTGAAATTCAGAGGAGGATTCCAGCTAGACTATGTTGGCTACTGGATGGATTACAGCCGCTTTGAGATTGGGCTGTCCGAGAAGAGAGCCAATTGGTTGATCAAGTTTGTAGAAAGTTTGCAGAGCGATGGATGGCTGACAGGCGTTAGACAATTCCAAGAGTTTCATGGTAGATTGGGATTCGCATCACAGGTACTGCCTTGGCTGAAACCCCTTTTGGGGCCTGGGTATGCGTGGTTGTCAGCGGTGGCAAAAGCTACTACGTTGAAAGTGCCAGAGTTGTTGGCCATCACTTGCACCTTCATCAAAGAGAAGTTTGGCTCTGGTCTGAGAAAGTTACCTTGCGGATGCAGGGAAATGCACATGGGCGAAATTTTCCGCACTGATGCAAAGTGTGCTGATGGGCGTGTGATTTTGGGAGGTTGGCGCGCAGACCTCACGCCGACTTCAAAAGGTGCACCTTGGTTTTCTTTGGAGATTGGTGCGAATGAAGCCCCTTGGTTATTCAGGGGCCCGGAGAAGAGCTCATCTTGGGCAAGTACTTCAGCGGAAATGTTAGCATCAGTTGTTGCTTTGCAGGTTTTTGACATTGGAGGTGACCCTAACCGCAGAACATCCCATATTCTTCACTGCGGGGCGGGAACGGACAACAAAGCAGCGGAATCTCTGGCTGCAAAAGGGCTCACAACGAAATTTCCTTTGGTGATCGTTTTGATGGAGTACTTAGCAATCTGTGAGCAGAGACGCATGCGTTGCCAGTTGGAATGGCGACCGAGAGAAACGAATACTGAGGCAGATGATTTGACCAATCAAGTCTTTGACAAATTTGACTTGGAGAAACGTATTGATATTTCTTGGAAGCAGCTGAAATTTCCCATGATCAATTTGCTGATGGGCTTCACTGAATCCTTTTCGAAAAGGAAGATTGAGCCCGTGCCCAACCAAGCTTCAGGATCGTCGCAGAAGTTTGCAAAATCAAAATGGGGTTGACGGTCTGCTTCCGTTTCAGTGGGGCTCGGAGCTCCAGCAGTACCTGATTTGTACCCACTGGATTCTTACATCCACTCCTTTGACAATGCAATTCAATTTACATTTTGGACTTTTACGTTCAAACTTGCGTGGCACTCATCCATCAGCGCGGCAAAAAGAATTGCTATCTTGGGAATTTCAGCTTGCTGACAATACTTTCTCTCTAACCTCCCAAACAGGACTTGCAGTCCGGTCTGTAAAATATCTTTGTAGTTGCGTTATGCGTCCCTAACTGTGCGTCCTATGCTTAAACCCAGCGCCTGCTAAACCACAACGCCAAACATAACAACTTAAACCTCAACCTAAACAATGTCAAAACCACAAATCTGTTTCTATTTTTACATGTCGTTTTCCAGTGATGTCTCACTGTACATGTGAAACATGTATCGGTTTTATGTTGAAAGTGTTTATCAATTTTATGTTCGTGTGGCTGTCCCTGTTTAAGGGTGTGGTGGGCGGGTGCGTCCTTTTTACATGCCATGGACAATTTCTGTGGAATCAGGGGAAAGGTGCTTCGTAGGGGCACTCCCAAGCACCGTGGCGAGTGTCTTTTTGCTGCATTGAAACCTAGCTTCCGGTTTGAGTCTTTTCAACTTGTCACAGTTGCTTTTACCGCTGGATTTGTTGCTGGTTTTATTTTTGCAGTTTGGTACCTTATCAACTCCTGAGCAGAGAGTCGACCATGGACCCGGACGCAGACAATGCTTCAGAAGGGTCACGTGCTTTGAGAGGTTTTCGCAGGAGATGGGCCCGGGCCTCGTCTGAGCCTGCAACTGAACGTTCAGAAGTCGCTGCGTCTCACTTTAGTGATGAGCCTTTATAAAACCTTGCTCACAGGTGGTGAGCCACCGTCCTCTTCCTTGCGCGTGCTGCGTCCTTTCCTCCGCGTTCGCGTTTCGAAGTATCTGGAAGATTGACTTCTGAAACCTCCTTTTTTTTAAACAACTTGAATCTTCTGTGGTTTGAAGTTGTTTTTGAAATTTGCGGTTTTGAACTCTCAACATGTCCAACTTCAGTGTGCTGTGAGTTTTCTCAGTTGGAATGTTTTGATCAGTCGTTCACCGCATTTTTAAATTTCAAGGGAGGGTGGGTGGGATAAAAGTTCTCACTACCCGGGGTTTTAAATGGGGGTAGTGAGTTTCGTAGGCTGTTTGCTGGCAATGGATCTCCTGATACATGCTTCTGCTTTTCAGTTGGGCGTCAGGAAGTCTGGAATCAAGTTACCGTGGGAGAGAGAGCCTCTGAACCCAGTTTTTGCAAAGAGGGCTAGGCTGATACAACCACCCGTTTATGTGCCAGTACTCACAGTACCAGAGCAGATGGTGGACATCCCACGGGTTGAAACTGAAGGTCAGATCAGATGGTCACGAAAGACCTCTTTGATTCCATGGCCGATTGCTCAAGATCGAGCTCTTGCAAGAGCGCTGGAAGCATGGAGGATCATCCTCACAGACAATTTGCAGGGATCTATGGTTGGCAGACAAATTGAAGAGGCACTTGCTGGAGACCCTCAGTCACAGTCAGTTGAGAAGATCATTTCAGATGTACTCTCTGGCAAATCAATCTCGACTTTAAAGGCCAGGTCGTCGTCGTTGTTGACTTATGGTCGATGGAGAAAAGGTTTAACTCCAGATGCTCCAATTTTTCCAATGGCGGAATTGCAGGCATACACTTATGTGCGTGAACTCAGGGAACACAATGCACCTCGTACCAGGGCGACACGATTCCTGGAAGCTGTTTCGTTTGCACACCATTTGCTAGGAGCTGATGTTGGAAACACTTTGAGGTCGTCAAGAGTGAAAGGTGCAGCAACAGTCCCTTTAGTCATTCCGAAGAAGAAGACTCCACTGACCATTTCACAGGTACGTTTTCTGGAGCATATTGCCATTTCTGGGACAGGACCTGAGGCAGTCTTCTGTGGATACGTGTGCATGATCCTCCACATGAGACTGAGGTGGTCAGATGGGCAGTATTGTCAAACTGAGCCATTTACAGATTTGCACGATGGTAAGGGCTATCTGGAGTGTCAGTTATATCACCACAAAAATGCAGGACGGCAGAAACATGCAAAGAGGCTTTTGCCAGCAGCTTGCAACTTGCCAGGCCTTTCTGGCGTGAACTGGGCTACACCTTGGCTATGGCGTCGACATGATCAAGGTCTGGTCGCAGGGCCGGGATTGCCGACAATGCCAGCCCCCCTCTCAGGAGGGGGCTGGGCTCAAGTGCCGCTGGAACCGAGTCAAGCAACGACCTGGTTGCGTGAGCTCTTGAGGGGCTTGGCACCGATGTCAAGCCCTATGGATATAGGGACGCATTCCTTGAAGGCAACCTGGCTCAGTATTTTAGCAAAAGCTGGATGCGATGGCGACCTGAGACGATTGGCTGGGTACCACACTGACCCATCTGCAAAGATGGCATTAGAGTACAGCCGAGATGCACAGGCTCCTGTACTGATGGCAATGGATGCAGCGGCAGTTGCAATCGATCAAGGGCTTTTCGATCCAGACTCGTCCAGAGCTAAGCGTTGGCCTCGAAAGGGTTGCAACTCTTTACAAGCTGTCATGCATTTTCTTGCAGACATTGATGCTGAAGAATTTTGGTATCAGAATCAGAGCTCAGCCTTGGAACCTGACCTGAGTCAGACTGATGATATACAGGAAGGCATGGACTTCCCTGGACCGCCGTCTGAACCCTACTCTCCTTCTCATTCTGATGGCAGTCAATCTGTTGTTGAGTCAATTTCTTCCATCAGTGAATTGAGTGAGAAACCACTGCTTGGTAGGGATTTCGTCTCTTCAGACGAGGAGCGTGAGGCAGAAGTGGCCGCACCGATAGTAGGTGAAGAGCTTGCTGTGGCCTTAGAGCAGAACATTGACACAGAAGTGTTTAGGCATATCTTCAGCGGTTGTTGCCACATTGCACGAAACGCCAACACTGACCCTGATGATGGCGAAGCTATCCAGCTGAAGTGCGGGAAGCTGGCAACTAAGAATTTTGAGAAGGTGCGTTTGGCAGGCAACTTCCTGCCGTATAAATGCTCAAGGTGCTTCACTGGCGGTTGATGTTTTTTTTTGATTTTATTTCAAACTGTTTTGCATTGCGTGAGTTCTTTGGTCAGAAGTGATTTTGGGCACCACGAGTTTCACTGTTACTTGAGTGCAGCAGTTCAAGGTGCTTGGAACTCAGTTTTTGCATGTTCATGTCCACAGTGCGTCTTTCATGTCATGTTAAGTGTTTACAATGTTGAAACTGGTCATGTCACATGTCGTGAGTTGCATGCCCTGCAAAGTGAACCCCAGAGGGAGCTGCTCCAAGCAACCAGCAGTAGGGAATGCGTCAGGTGCACAGAGCTCAGACAATGACAGTTACAACCAACATTTTTTTGGTCAAAATGTATTCAAACAGTCACCTCGGCTTTTCAAGTTTGCAGTGTGTGATGTTTTTGATTGCAGAACTCACCATGCACAGAGCCCAAAGCTCTAATACCTGGCAGAGCGACAGTACAGAGCTGGAAGCTTGGGGCTGACAGGACTCCGTCCGCAAAGTGTCACAAAAGAGTGAAACCATTTCAGATTCAGTTGGCCGGTGATTCCGTGATTTGTCTTGTGAATCTTGTGACTTTTCTTTTCCTTTTGATTCCTGACTAATGAACATGTCACTGAAAGCAGTCATGTTGTGAGTCATGAAATCCACTTGCAAGCCATGACCACAGGGTCATGATGGATCCATGCATGACGTTGCATGGACAGGCTCCAGAACAGAAAGCTGTTACTGGAAAAGGAAAGACCTTTTGTGCTTCAATTTTCGTATAACGTTTATTTCATAGTCACTCATTTGCAGCCACAACCGGCGATAGCTGGTCCTTTTAATTTTGTCAGAGGAGACAACAGCAGTTCATTGCCCATCACCGCTTCACATTTGAGTTGTAGAGTGGTAGTGGCGACAGCCATGTCCCTAGTCGACAGCACTGCAGTGTTCGAAGCCAGAGCAGCGAGCATTGGTGTTCCTGACGATGTGGTGGCTGCGATGGCATTGAAAGGTTGGGTCAGTCATGGAACCTACGCATTTGCTGTTGCGACTCAACCGGGTGCTGACGAGCAGGCTTTTCTGGATGGGGTCATAATCCCATTGTTGGGTGGGGCAGACCACATTGCTGCGCCCAAGCTGCGTAGACTCTTTTTCGAGTCACACACATTGACATCAGCAGAACTTCGTCGCCAAGTTGATGCCACAGAGCAAGAAGCTCCCAGGAAGTTGCCTGCACCAGAGATCTCTCAGCGGATGGAGCTGCTTCAGGCTCGAATCAGGCCATTGATTGTGGCTAACTTCATGGAGCCGTCACATCATCTGATCAACTCATTGGTGCAATGTGTGGAGGATGGCAGGGTCAGGTACATTGAGTGGTCGCGTTGCACTTCTCGAACCCAGGAAGTCAATAACATCAAAGAAGATGGTGACCTGAAGATTTGGAAAACTGACAGCACAGGAACTATCAAGGCCACTACAAAGGAACCATCTATTGTGGCTTCATTGAACACGGAGTTGGACGTCCACAACGCTCTGAGACATCGAGGGGTTGCCTACGAGATTGCACAGGCAATGACGTTTGAGGTGCACGAGGCCATCATCAACTATTTTTTCTTTGAGCTCAAGAAGGATCCTATGGAGGGATTTGGACAGGTGACCCTTCAACAAGTTGCTGCAGCAGATAGGGAATTGCATGTGAGATTAGCAGAGGCTACGAGAGGAGGCTTCAAGACTGGGCCTGCTGGTGAACTTCCGTTGGACATCCATGTGAAACGGATTTTGGATGGACCTGAGCTCAAATGGATGCTCATGCCATTGCCAAAAAGAGCTGCAGGAAAGCCCACAACAGACGGTCCATCCAAGCCCTCGAACGATGCGGAATCGAAACGGAACAAAGCAGAGCCGAATAAGACAAAGCAGGATTCGTTGAAGCTAAAGCGGCTGAAACGAACACCCATGCCCAAGAAGTTGGTCGGTTGTGTTCCATGCAATGACGAAGGTCAGCCTCTGTGTTTTGCTTTCAACCTTGGGACATGTGCTAGCAGTTCAGATTGCCCGAAGGGGCTCCACATGTGTTGCAAGAAAGGCTGCAATAAAAGACATGCGTTTGTGGTTGCGCACAAGCAAGGGGCTTGACTATCAAGTGAGCTGATGGTAAGCCCACCAAAGGCTTGCATAAAGGAAGAAGTTCAACCTGTGGCTGCATCACGAAAGCGTGGCACAGCCGCTATCAAAGTGGACGACAGTCGTCCCAGTGAACCGGTGGCAAAGCGAAAGCGCTTGGTCACGGGTTGCTCAGTTGCAGAAGTGCACAACGTTGTTAGTGGTGTTGGTGACAAAGAGTCAACACAATCACCTCCGAAGGAGCATGACATTTTTGCAGAAGCAAGTTTAAAAGATGCAGAAGTGCAGTCTGGAAAACAGCTTTTTCTCTTAGATTTATTTTGCGGTACAGCAGGTGTGACAGCAGCTTTTAGAGCGTGTGGTGGTGATGCACTTGGCATTGATCACATCATTGATAAGCGGAGAGTCAAAGGCCCTGTCTCAAAGGTCGATTTGACGAAGAAGGATGGCCAGGAAACCATAATGGGATGGATATCAGCTGGAAAGGTGGACGCTGTTATGCTTGCCCCTCCTTGCGGCACAGCGTCGCGAGCCAGAGAAATACCGATACCAAAAAGACATCGCCTGCGTAAAGGCATGCAGCCAGCCCCCTTGCGGTCAGAGCAGTTTCCAATGGGGTTGCCAAATTTGAGAGGCGTAGCCAAGCTCAAAGTCCAGGCTGCAAACCGCTTATATTCGTTTGCAAGAAGGGTCATTGATTTGTGCGTGGCCATGGACATCCCTGTCATTTGCGAGAACCCACGCCGGTCTTTGATGTGGAACACCGATTATTTCAGTGACTTGCCGTCAGTTTGCCGTTTCCAACATGTGCACTCCTGTATGTACGGCGGCAAACGAAAGAAGCGGACTTCATTTCTTTTGAATTTTCATGCGCAAAATTTGTTACTGGAATGCGATGATAAGCATCAACATTTGCCTTGGGGACTTGTACAAGATAATGCGCTTTCTGAGATCAAGTTTTCGACCAGTCTCGAAACTGAATACCCTTCGGGACTTTGCAAGCAACTGGCATCAGCTTTTGTGGATAGGTTGTTACAACAAGGCAAAGATATTGCCCAAACACCACTCCAAATGGAACAAGCCCAGCGCATGGGCTCAGGCTTGCAGCCGCGTGGAGGTCGTGCACCACTTTTGTTGGGTGACTTCAAGTTCAAGATTGACGTGACCTCCGAGGATGTGGACATTCCTTCCCAAATAAGTGAATCAGTGCACCCTCCATTCCAAGGTATTCCTATCCATTCAAAGCTGATTTCTTCTCGATTAGTTTCTGAAGTGGGGGATGAGGGCGAGAAGAGAACACGTGCGATCTCGACCTTTGGAGTTTTCAGGTCTCCTTTCGAATTCCTGCACAGAGCAATGACCCTTGAACATCCCCTTGACACTCCCCACAATGTGGACAAATCCAATTTGAAAGCAATTTTATTTATAAGAGACCACAGTGCGTCAGAGGTTGTACAGTTCAGAGCAAAGCAACTCAAGAAGTACATGTCACGAGCAGCTCAATTGAGCGAGCAAGAATTTCAGTTCAAGGAGACGCTAGATGTGGACGTAAGACGCGTTTTGGAAGGGAAGAGACTTTTACTTTTTAAGGAGATGGCCGCTGACGCCAAGGTGGGTGATGAGACTCTTTTTCAGGAGTTAACGGAAGGGTTCAGGTTGACTGGTGAGATGCCCCAGTCAAAACAATTTCCTGCGAAGTTGAAACCTGCGATGATCTCAGTTCAACAACTCAGAGAGTCTTCAGTTTGGGCAAAGGAGATGATCCACTCCTCTTGCCGTAGGGTCGGTTCAGATCCTGAGATTGCGAAGGCTGTGTTTGAAGAGACGCAACAGCAACTGAAGGATGGGTGGGTACGTGGTCCTTTTTCGGCCACGGATTTGGATGTGAAATATGATGGCTGTTGGGTGCCTTCAAAACGTTTCGGAGTGCGTCAGGGAGGAAAAATTAGAGCAGTTGATGATTTTTCTGAATTTTTGATCAACGCCTCGGTCACCTCTACAGAGAAACTTCAGTTGTTTGGCTTAGACGAGGTCGTCAACACTGCAAGAACTTTTATTGGATGTGATTTTCTTAGGGCTGATGACCTCTTGGAAAATTTGTGGTGTGACCCGGCCGTGCGTTTCTTCAAAGGTCCCTGGACTGACATCATGGGAAGAGCACTGGATTTGAAGAGCGCCTACAAGCAACTAGCAAGGCATCCCGATGACAGTTGGGCATCTATTTTGGCAGTTTGGAATTTTGAGACTTCAATGGTGGAATACTACGAATCATGTGCACTGCCTTTTGGGTCAATATGTGCGGTCATGGCATTTAACCGCATGGCACGTGCCCTCAGACTGATTTTATCTGAGCTTTTCTGCGTAGTCAACACAAATTTCTTTGATGATTTTTGTCAACTTGAAAGGAGTGAGCTGTGCGATTCAGCATGGCAGTCTGCAGAGTTGGTTATGCGCCTTTTGGGATGGAGGATTTCAATGTCTGAAGACAAACGTGGCCCCTTTTCGAAGGAGTTCAACCTTCTTGGTGCTGTGATTGATTTGTCAGGCGCTACGCAAGGAATGGTATCGGTACACAACAAGCCTTCCAGGATTTCTGACCTGCAAGAACTGGTCAACAGCATTTGTAATAGCCAGACAGTGGCGATATCGACTCTTGAGACCCTCAAGGGTCGTCTCTTGTATGCCGCAGGGCATACGTTTGGAAGATGTACTCAATTGGCAATTCAACTGATTTCTCGTGTGGCTCGCAGAGGTCCTTTGGTACTCCTTGACGAACAGCTTAAACACGTCATTGTGAGAGCAATGCACTGCTTAGTTAACTCGAAGCCAAGACGAGTGGAAGCTTGGTCCGGAAGGGTCCCCATCATTTTATTCACAGATGGTGCCTGCGAGAATGAGGGCGCTCTGGTAACACACGGTGCAGTGTTATTTGACCCTGAATCGAATTTGGCGCTCATGTTTGGTGATGAGATCCCTCATGAATGGACCTCGAAATGGAAGTCTGAGGGACGCAAACAGTTGATTTGTCAAGCTGAGCTCTGCCCGGTGATCATCGCGAAGAATACTTGGAAAGATGCTTTGAAGGGACGTTCAATTCTTTGGTTCATCGATAACAACTCTTCTCTTGCGGCGATCATCAGATCGTACTCTCCAGTACTCGACAACTTTGAGATGCTTGTGATTAATGCTCGATTGGACACAGAACTTCAGTGCCTACATTGGTACTCCAGAGTACCTTCCCGATCCAATCTTAGTGACGATCCGTCACGACTTGTTTTCAAGGAACTTGAAAGTCAAGGCTTCAAAAGGTGCACACCATGTTACAATCTCACGAGCGGGTGAAATGGGGTGGCAAGGCGTGAGATATAAAGATGTCTTACGCGTAACACGAAAGCGTGCCGACTCCCCAATTACCTAAAGGTGAAAAAAAGAAAGTTACAGTGTGAATTTTCCAAGACGTCAGCTGTGCAAGCATTTTCATGATGTGCATTTCTCCGTGTCGAATTCACGTGCGTATTATTGGATATATATATATATACTTACTTACGTGTTTGTATATATATATATAATTAAGTTTTCAATTTAAGTTTTTGTTTTGTAAGCAACGCGCAACCAGGGACGCGAGCGTAAAGGTAGAGGTGAGCTTTGGTTTGATAAGCTGCGTCTCACTTTAGTGATGAGCCTTTATAAAACCTTGCTCACAGGTGGTGAGCCACCGTCCTCTTCCTTGCGCGTGCTGCGTCCTTTCCTCCGCGTTCGCGTTTCGAAGTATCTGGAAGATTGACTTCTGAAACCTCCTTTTTTTTAAACAACTTGAATCTTCTGTGGTTTGAAGTTGTTTTTGAAATTTGCGGTTTTGAACTCTCAACATGTCCAACTTCAGTGTGCTGTGAGTTTTCTCAGTTGGAATGTTTTGATCAGTCGTTCACCGCATTTTTAAATTTCAAGGGAGGGTGGGTGGGATAAAAGTTCTCACTACCCGGGGTTTTCACCCGCCCTCCCAACCCTCTCCGGGCGTGAGATATAAAGATGTCTTACGCGTAACACGAAAGCGTGCCGACTCCCCAATTACCTAAAGGTGAAAAAAAGAAAGTTACAGTGTGAATTTTCCAAGACGTCAGCTGTGCAAGCATTTTCATGATGTGCATTTCTCCGTGTCGAATTCACGTGCGTATTATTGGATATATATATATATATACTTACTTACGTGTTTGTATATATATATATAAGTTTTCAATTTAAGTTTTTGTTTTGTAAGCAACGCGCAACCAGGGACGCGAGCGTAAAGGTAGAGGTGAGCTTTGGTTTGATAAATTTCATTGCACAGTGACAACAATTTGGATGTTTTTCCACAACTGTTTGGTGAATACAGTCCTAGTGTTGCCGATGACCTTGATGCGGCGGGCTGGCAGTTTGCTGAACCTTCAGTTGATCATTTGGAATCATCACAGCTTGAGTCCTTGAAACGGCCTCTTGATGTCAGTTCGAAGAACCTTCATGATTCATGTCCTGTGGTGCTTGACCCCTGTGGCAGCGAGCCATCGTGGAGGGCAACGGCATTGGAGGCAGAGATCAAGAGGGCTAAGACTAATTTGGACAAGTTGCCATGGGAGGTTGATGGATCAGTTTTCAAAACTCGTGATTTGTGGCAGGGTACAGCTGTTTCTTTGCTGGACAAGATGTTTACACCTGCAACGTTTGGTGCACAGGATGTTTTGGCTTCTCAGGTTGTGACCACCAGGCCATCCAGGGAGACGATTTGTCAGGACCTCCCAGTGGTGCCCTTCATGCTGAAGAGGGCTAGGCGTGAGCCTTTGGATGAGGACATACGCAGACTGGCATTGCAGAAATTCCGAGATCTGGTTCTTCAAGACCCCCTTGCTACACAACTGGGGACTAGTTTGAGAGGGCGTTTTGATAGTGGATCTTTGCATGAAAATATTGATCAGTCATTCAGAGATGCATTTCGTATGAAAGCTTCCTCTACGTTGCAAAAGAGGGCGTCGTCCATGACGAGACTTGCAAAGCTCCTCAGGGAGGCTGGGCAGTTGTACCCATTGCGGTTGTCAGAGCCTGAGTTGTACTCAGCCCTATGCAATATGAGGGCCGCTGGAGCAGGGGCTACAGCAGCTCAGCATATAATTGAAGCCCTGCATTTTGTTGATGCTACTGCCAAACTGTTGGTTGCAGACCTTTCACATGTGGTGTCAGCACGTTGCCGTGGTGTTGCCAGAGACATGTTCTTGGGTAAGAATCCGTTATGTCAGAAGCAGCCCCTGACAGTGGAGCAAGTGTGGCACTTGGAAAATCTGATGCATACTTCTGGAACAGTTTTGCAATGCATTCTTGGTCAGCTGTTATTTTGCATTCATTCTTGCTGTCGTTGGAAAGATGCTCAGCGTTTGAAGTCCATTTCATTGGAATCTGGGCATGGTGAATCTTTGGTCCATGCAGATGCGCTGACTTCGAAGACAGCGTTGACAATGGAGGCCAAGACGCGCTACTTGCCCTATGCTGCACTAGGCACTGGAGTGTCATCAACTGACTGGGCGGCTCAGTGGATTGCTGCACGTCAAACGGAAGAGCTTGAGTGCTGTGACTTTGTTTTGCCAAGTTTTTCAGAGAAGCATTCTAGCTGGGTGGGCACTCCAATGAGCGCAGCAGAGGCGACAGTTTGGCTGAGGGAGTTTCTTGAAAGTGCTGAGACACCTTTTCAGCCACAGCTGATTGGATCACACTCATGCAAAACTACGCTTTTGACTTGGGCTGGACGGTGTACCAAATTGGTTTTCACCCCTACAGAGCGTCGACTTCTGGGCCATCATTTGGATGCAAACATGAAGAGCGTCATGTGCTACTCCCGTGAGTGCTACACAAGCTTGTATGCCAAGGTGTTGGGCATGATTCGTTTGATACGGTCAGGTGATTTTCAACCAGACCAACCGGCCATTGACAGGGTGGTCCAATTGGCTGAGGGAATCGATGAATGTGCAGCTGGTGCACAACAGGTGGATGAAGATGAAGCGGCAGGCTCGGATTCCGATTCAAGTTTGGCATCCTTGGAGAGTTTGCCTGATTGCGAGACAGAAGAATGTGGACGGAGCGAACAGTGCATATCGTTGTTTCCTACCTTTCCAGGTGTCCCAGAAACATCGCTTCTTGTGCATAAGGTGTCAGGACTTGTGCACATTGTGGGTGAGGATGACTTTTTGAGCTGTGGGCGCCCTACGTCCCGAAACTTCAGGTCGTATGCACATGTGTCAGACAGGGATCATTTGGATGCCTGCCGCCATTGCCTTAGAAGCTTCCGAAACAGGGAGGATTGATCGGCGTTTCTGCATGTGAAATAAAAGTTGCGTAAGCTGTTTTTTGTGATGCATTCAGAACTCAAGGTAAATGAAAATTGGACTTGTTCAGAAGTTGATTAGGGCACATGTTCACATGCTGTATTTCAATTGCGAGTGCATTCATTGACACCACATCCGATTGGTGCATGGCTTGATTGTCCCAACATCGAGAGTGTGATCTTGCAGTTGGACAAAACTCAAGGCCGTGTGAAATCACTCGAATGCAGTTGAAATGTTGTGCAGATGTGAATCCCTAAGCATAGAAACTTTTGAGTCCAATTTCATGGCCATGACATTTTTCTGAAACTGTGCATTACACCTGGAAACCCAGCTTGCTGGAAACTTTTTCAAGTGCGTTTGCAGGATGTGAATTTTCAAATGTTTTGACCGTGCATCACCTTTGAAAACTCAGCTTGCTGGAAACATTTTTTTGAATTTTTGTGAGATGTGAACCTTTGTCAAATGATTTGTTTGATTTTCACCTGAGCTCACTCTAGCGGTGCCGTAGATCCATGTCTGCAACGACATTAGAGTCCGTGGCAGCTTTCAGAGCGCGTGCAAAGCAGATTGGAGTTGAGGACAGATACATAGATCGTTTCGAAGTGAGAAATTTTGCGGCATTTGGCCGTTATGCTTTCGCAATAGTTTACTCTCCCCAGCATACAGATGAGACTCCGCTGATTGACTTCCTGACTGATGTGCTGGGTGAACGCCCGGGGGCAGACCAGCTGTCTTGTTTGAGACGGCTATTCTTCGAATCCCACTCCATGGCCCTGACTGACGTTAGGCTGCGCATAGAGTCATCACCTGACCCTGCAGCTTCGACCAGAAAGTTGGCAACGGCAGAACGCGTTGCTCGCCAGAAGGAGCAAGAGGCCAGATTGGGTGGAATCATCTTCACTCCAGAAACCACCCCTTCAAATCATTTGGTTGATCTCTACGTGGAGATGCTGGAGACGGGTACTTTGGTTTACGTGAAGCCAGAACAATGCTGCAGCCGAGCCGAAGAAGTTAGCTCCATCAAACGAGATGCCACGGTGTCCACCGACTCTGCAGGTATGCTCAAGGTCGGCTCGAAGTCAACAGAGCCTAATTGTGAGGCCAACTCAGAACTCAAACTACGTGCGGCATGGCAGCGCAGAAGCTTGGCGATGGATCTGGCAGGCATAGCCAGTTTCAATGTGGTTGAGGGTTGGGTACAGCTCTTATTTACTCACCTTCTTAGAGACCAACCTCGTGGCTACTCAAAGATCGGTCTACAGCAGATTCTGGATTGTGATAAACAACTGTTCACGTTGGCTTCCCATCGAACTATGGGGACCCTACAACAAGGGGCAAACCAGGTCAAGCCTTTGGATAAAGTGCTGGGTGAGTTGAGGGAGTCCAGTGAAGTGCTCCACTTCCTATCGCCCTTACCTGCAGTGAAGCATCATGAGCCGCCTTCGTCTTCAGGGGGCCGACCTGAGAAAGTTCAGAAGGTGGAAAAGCCCACCGCGAAAGGTGGTGGCAAAGGCTCTAACAAGGGCAATGCTGGGCCGAAAGTGCAACTTCCTGAAGGGTGCACTTCTCATGACGATGAGAACAGACCTTCGTGCTTTGCTTACCAGAACAACAAATGCAAGTTCAAGGGCCCAGCAGGAAAGCGATGCGCCAGAGGGTATCATAAGTGTTACAAGAAGGGGTGCTATCGGCTCAAGCCGTATTATCTTTGCACCCACACAGACTGACTTGAGGGAGTGGCCATGGAAGTTTCACAACAAGATTCACCCCCTCTCTTCATCGAGCTTTTTGCTGGGAGGGCATCTTTGTCCCGGGCTGCGATTCAATCGGGTTTGCGGGTCATTAGCATTGACCACGAAGTGGTACAACCGTTTGCACCTATTGTGACGCTGGATCTAACGTCGAGCAGCGGTCAAAAGATTTTATGGGACGTTTTAACGTCCCCAGGTGTCGAAGCAGTTCATCTTGGTTTGCCGTGCGGCACTTCCAGCCGTGCCCGTGAAAGGCCGATTCCTAGAGAAATGCGGCTGGCAGGGGTTCCAGAGCCACCTCCCCTACGCTCAGCTGAGTTCCCTTTGGGGATTCCTGGTCTTGCGCATCATCATCAAAGGCGCATTGATAGCGCCAACTGTTTATATGCCCTGGCCATCGAGATCATCTTGTGGTGTCACCGCCATAAGGTGGTGATCAGCATTGAGAATCCTGGAAACAGTTGGTTGTGGGCAGTTTTGGTGAAACTTGCAAGGGAACACTCCACAGAAGCGGCGACTGCCCTCAACTATTTACAGTTTGTTTATTTTCATGCTTGTTGCCATGGCTCTACACGAAGGAAACATACCGCCTGGCTCTCAACGCCTGGGGTGTTCGATGCCTTGTCAGCCGCTTGCAACAATGACCATGCCCACGAGCAGTGGGGCGTGCGATGGCAATCAGGATC